GACTTGACTATGGCTAGAAAACACAAGCCCAGGAAACAAGTATGAACGCAAGCAGAGGGTCGAACTCTGTTCCATCTAAAGAACCTCTCAAAGAATGGCTTCCAGTCCCCACTGCTCTCAGAGTACCTGGGGAAGGACTTGTCTACCAGGCAGCAGGGTAACAGCTTCTCCAACCTAGAAGCTGAGAACACCACTCGGCTTTTCCCACCTCCTTATGCCACAGGCGGAGCAGGAGGAAAAAGGGGTCTCTATGTGTGATTAAAGCCTGGGTAGGCCCTGTCACTGACTTCACCTCCATGCCTCAGTCTCCTCGTCTGTAAAATGAGGATGAACACTTAAACAATGTCTGGTGCACTGTAGGAAACTCCAGAAATGCTAGCCATTCCAGTCTGACTATCCAGGGACATGGAGTTGTCCGTAAGCAATGGGAACCGGAAGGTGAATGGGTTCAGCCCAGCAATCCCCTGGAACCCCTCTTTCTATGCCAGTGTCTAGTAGTGAAGGTTAACAGTCACTGCATCCTACACAGAAAGGACCCCCCAGGGCCCCGAACCTTTGGGAATGAAGCTCAGCATTGCCCCAACAGGGAAAGACCTCAGGGAGCTAAGACCCAGCTGGAAGGGACGGGTGTGAGGAATGGACATGAAGTGCCTGTCATTACGTGGCTCCCCCAGGTAGCTCTTGACTGGCCCACAGCACTTCATCCCTGAGTCTTCCTCTGCAGCCTCACATCCACCGTCATCCAGGCCCCTCGTCCATGAGGGTGGCCCCACTCCTTCTCCTCCAGCCCACTTCTACTTGCACCCTCTGCAACACCCAGTTCCCAGAGCCCAGGCAGGGTTCCAGGCGTGGGCTCCAGGCGTGGCCTCCTTCCCCCTGAGCAAGGCACTCACAGCGCCTCTTGACTGGCCCTGATCCTCCTCCACTCACAATCACCATCACTCCCTACCTGCTGGCCACCCTCCTGTTCTGCGCTTGGAGTTGGTCATGCTCTCCTGTGCATCTCCGCATGTGCCGAGCCCTCTCTCTGGAACACCCACCCTGTCAGCCCCTGGCTCTCTCCACTCTGTCCTAAGAGTCAGCCCTGTGTGAAGTAGGGGCCCCTCATCTGCTCCCACCACACCCTGGGGTCACCTTCATCATAATTCTGATTATACCACAGAGTGTTCTAGCTTCCCCTCTCAGCGCCTTGAAGGACACACTAGTCCCTGCAGCCCCCAGCGCCTGCAAAGTGCCGGCACATCACAGTCCCCGGATGGGAGTCAACGGGTCTTGCCTCCTCTCACCCTCATGTAGCCGGGGCCGGGGAAGGGCCGCCCACAGAAACACTTAACGCAAACTCTCAAACTAAAAAACAGTGAGGATTGAGAGAGGCTTCCTTTGTTAAAAGACAGCAAACTGTTAGATTTCAAAAATAACTTAAGACGGGATTTCTTTTTTATTCTCAAGCAAGCAGCCAGACATTGCCAAATCTATTTAGAAGGTTCACCAAGAGGCTGCTAATCCCACCCTGGTGGTCCAGCAACCAAAAGGAGACTTCACTTGGGGGCATGCGAACTGGGGATCCCTGATCCCAGGGTTAATCGCCAAGGTCAGGGCTCCTCTGAGTGGGGGAGGGGGCTCTCAGGGCCCCCAGAAGAGGCTGGCCTCCATTCCCACTCGCCCTCAGTCCCAAGGACCTGCTCGCAGCCTGTCGGCCCCCATCCATGCCGCCTGCTTGTAGGGACTCGTTTTAATTAATGCCAGAGCCGGGCCAACCACTGGGGCCATGACACTTGTTTGCAGGTCATCTCCTCCTAACAGGCTCACCCTGGGAGGGGATTTGTCACTAATTGAAGCAGAGATCAGTTAATGAGGCTGTGGGACCTGGGGTTCCAGAGAACAAGGGAAAGGAAAATAAAATAAAGCCTCTTTCTTCAGAGGTTTTGTGATTTACACACACAAAAGAAAAGCAAGCAAGCTGCCGATTTTCCAAGTCAGAAACTCCACTCCATCTGCCGGAGTTAGACCCTCACTGTGTGAAGACGTCAGACAGAGGGACGCTGCCACCACTAGGACTCGCAGATCGGAAAGGAGAGGGGCCTCAAGGCCAGCAATCAATCAGCGGCCTAATTAAGAAGTATTTATGGGGCAGTGGCCTGTGCTCCTCTCCATGGGGGAGAAACCATGGTGCCTGTCCCTGGCTAACTTGTAATCCAGTGGGGATGGGGCTGAGACTGCAGAACACTCAGGGGAAGGGGACACAGTGAAATTGAGCATGAGTGGGGAGGACAGGAGTTTCCAGGACTTGTGGGGAGGGAGAGTGGTACAGGCTGGAGTGGTTGGGGAAAGCCTTTCAGGGCTGCAGGAGCTCCCAGAGAGGAGAAAGAAGGGAGTCCCCAGCACAGGCACAGCCCCCAGTGAGGCCCAGCCCCTGCCCAGCAAGATCTCAGCTCTGGGAACCCCAGAGCGCTCCAAGTCCCCCAATAACTCTGTCTTCAGAACCCATACCACACAAATCTGTGCTAAGTTTGCTTTGGCAAGTGTTGGGATGGAACGGCTGACAGTCCCTCAGTTGGGGCAGTGAGGACTGGACATATAGAGGGCTTGGAGCGCTCAGAAAAAGTTTTTTTTAAGACAGGGTTTTGTTCGGTCGCCCAGGCTGCAGTGTAGTGGCACAATCATGGCTCACTGCAGTCTTGAACTTCCAGGCTCAAGAGATTCTCCCACCTCAGCCTCCTGGGTAGCTGGGACTACAGGTGTGCATCACCATGCCTGACTAATTTTTTTACATTTTTGGTAGAGACAGGATTTTGCCATGTTACCAGATAGGATTTTGCCATGTTACCCAGGCTGAAAAACTGAAATCTTGTTCTCCGTGCCCCAGGCCTGCAGAAGGAAGTCCAGCAGGACAGTGATCCCCTTCACTCACACCTTTCCATTCAGGGCCACTCAGCATCCTTCCCTATGTGGCCTCCTCTTCCCACCTTACCCCCGAGTCTCTAAGAAGGGAAGGAGATTTTTGATCTGTTAAACTAAGCCTACCATCAGCTTCTCTCATCACAAGGAACAAGGAGGTGACAGAGCCTTTTCCCCTACTCAGGAGAGCCCTTGGCCTTTACCCAGCGAGTCCCCAGCATACGGGACCCCCAGTTTGTCAGAATCCCAGATGAAGTCTCCAGCTGGGCTGCAGGGCAAGTAGGGTGGCGGGTCAGCAGTCTCTTGGTGAGTCATCTGAATAGGTCTGCAATGTCTGGCTTCTTGCTTTTGTGAAGACGTAAGGATTTAGGGAAGAGATTTTGGGCATGAGATGGGACATCCCACTTCACAGCTATTTGGAGATGACTTGGTCTATGTGGGAGTGAAATAAATGAGGCCATTTCAGGACAACCCCAAATCCCTCCTTTAGAAGAATGGTGAATTAAACTGTAGTGTATGGTACAATGGGTGATTATACAGCTGTGAACAGTTATTATACAGTATTTACTTAATGGCACTGGAAAGATGAGGAAAGTGGGTTTTACCAAAAGGTTATTATATATGAATTCTTCATTATACGTGAATGTTTTCTTTTTCATTAGAGATAAAGGCTTGCTATGCTGCCCAACTTGGCCATATGTGATCCTTCCATCTCAACCTCCTGGGTAGCTGGGAATACAGGGGCACACCATCTTGCCCAGCTGAATGGTTGTTTTCTAATTTTTTTCAATTTTTATTATTATCTTTTTTGGTGGGGAGAGGGAGTGCAGTGGTGTGATCTTGGCTCAGTGCAACCTCTGCCTCCCGGGTTCAAGCAATTCTCCTGGGTTGAGTAGCTAGGATTATAGGTGCCCATCACCATGTCGACTAATTATTGTATTATTTTAGTAGAGATGGGGTTTCCTCATCTTGGCCAGGCTGGTCGTGACCTCCTGACCCAGGTGATCCGCCTGCCTCGGCCTCCCAAAGTGTTGGGATTACAGGCGTGAGCCACTGCACCCGGCCTTTTGTTTTTTTAAATGGGGTCTCGCTGTGTTGCCCTGGTTGAAGTGCAGAGGCTGTTCACAGGTGCAATTATAGCACACTACAGACTCCAACACCTGGGCTCAAGTGATCCTTCCACCTCAGCCTCCTGAGTAGCTGGGACTACAGGCGTGCCCACTGTGCTCAGCTAAGTGAATGTTGTTTGGTTTTCATTTTCTAATTATTTTTTCTTGCCAGTTACATTAATTTATTGTGTAATGAATGAAATGACAGAGTTGTGAAGGGGTCCTTCACCCTCTAGAGTTGGCTATAGAAGGCCAGCCCAGTGGGGATCCAGAGAGAGCCAGACGTAGGCACAGGGGTGGGCTCAGGGCGAGACAAGCGTGTCAAAGGCCCTGGCAGCTTTACTCTGACTCTGACCCAGGCCCCTGACTGTGTCACTTGCCCTCTGATCTCCTCTGGGAAGCAGGGAGTCACAAGTCACACCCACCCTATGCTCACGCTCGGTCTCTGAACTTCCCCTAATGAGTAGCTGCTCTGGCCTCAAAGTACTGTAGATACTCAGAGTGAGCCTAATGCCCCTGTCTTCAGCACTGACAGGTCTTTAGGAGAGGATGGACGTGTGACACCAGTAAAGCCACAAAGAGGGAACAGCGCCCTGGCAGCTCAGCAAGAGTTCAGGGGAGTGAGCACATGAGCCAGCCTTGCAGGGTCATTCCTGTGCGCCCCCCACCCCAGCCACATTACTCAGAATGAGGAGCGGCTCTTCCAAGCAGAGTGCTGGGCAACTGCAGCCCCACTCAAGGAAGATGTCCTGCCTTGGTGCCCCTGGGCACCACCTCACCTCACCTGCTCTCCAAAACAGGGAGCGCCAGGTTGTGCTCTGTCTACTGGAGCCTCTTCTTGGCCTGAAAAGCCTGTTCTGACAGCCCACCCACAGAAACCTGTCTCCCACATCCTTGACTGGCCTGGCCCTCAGAGAAGCACCCATGTGCAATGCTGAGTGAGGTGGCCCCAGAGCAGCAGAGCCAAGAAGGAGCAGGGGAGGGAGTACTCACAGCAATGGAGACGGCGCTGATGACAGCTCCCAGGTAGCCCTGGATGAACTTGGATACAGGTGAAGGCTGTAAAACAGAGGCAGAATTTCAGGCCCGCTGGGTGCCCAAAGCTCCCATATTCCCCCTCGTAAACTGTCCCAGCCAGCAAGAAGCATCCTGCCTACCAGCCTGGAAGGTGGGTGAAAAGACGCCCCACAGGACCACAAGGAATCGGGCCACCCTCAGCTCGGTTCCCAATGTAGAAATATAGAGCACTATTATCCAGGGAGATGCTGAAGGGCCTACTTCACTCCTGCCCTGTTGTAGAAAGGTCACTGGCAGATAGTGCTAGCTGGAGGTGGAGAACAGCAAGGCCAACATGGACCACTGACGGCTGGGGCAAGCAGTCTCCAGTTTAGAGGCTAAACTGGAGGGGGCTGTTTGGCACCTGGAGCACTTTCTAGGTGAAAATGCCAGGGTCAAGGCTCTCATAGGCCTGGTCAGCCCATGGAACAACTGGGCTCTCATGTCAACAGACGATAGCTGTCCAGTATCGCTACAAAAAAATATACCCCAAGTTCCAACACAGACAATTAAGAAAAAGCTAAGGAACTTGTCCTGTGCTACAACTGCAGGTTCAGAGATGTTTGGTTTAAGATAAATGGGAGTCATCCAGGCAGAGATGTCCATATATGAAGCCTATGAGAGAGACCTGGGGTGGAGGTTTAGATGTCAGGGGTACTCACAGAGCATCAGGCCTCTCAATGCCTCTGGCCCAGGCTAGCTCCTAACTCCCCTCCTCTCCCGCAAGGTTAGCAAATGTTAAGACTCTCCTCTACCCCCAAACCAACCGGCTCCCAAAGGGGACCTAGATGCATCCTGCCTTTTCTGCCTTTGAACTGAAGTGGGGGAGACGTGGCCTTGCCAGCAAAGTAGGGGCCCAGCAGCCCTTCCTGGACAACAGAAGGGTGACGAGGCCTCCACCGCAAGCTCTCCAAGGAGTGCAGGGGACTTTGGGGAGGAGGTATCAGCCCCGGATCCTCCCCACTCAGGAGCGGCTCTTCAGCTTATGGCCAGCAGTTGGGAGCTGGGGACACTGAGGCAGCTTCCAGAAAGCTTGGAGGAAGCTTTAGGGGAATTTGGCCCCCAAGTAGCTGATATCATCATGATCCAAAACCCATGTGTAAGAGCTGTCAAAGAATCCGAAAGCCAGCGGAACTCATCCCTTGCACTGCTCCCATTTAATGGGCCTTCTTCACTTCATGTCAACAGTCCCTCCCCAGAGGACTCCCAGCCCAGAGACTCCAGCTGACCTCAGCCGAGTATTGTCTGAGTCAGCCAATCAACCTGAAGGGTTGGCATTTTAAATAAGATATCTGGAGGAGGGCAATGATTAACCAAGAAGCAGCCACTGATGGTGACATGTCACACTGTAGGGAGGCTGACTGGGCCTTCTCATCCTGACCCCCACTACTGGACAGAGGGCAGTGATGCTCACCTTGGTAGCATTGCGGTTTGCATAGTTGACACAGGCATTGTGGCTCTGGTTCAGCCACTGAAAGGCAATGATGAGAGAAGTCAGGGAAGGAGTGGTCACCTCCTGGGAAGCCAGACGTGGACCCCAGGAGGCCACACATCCCCAGAAAGGCACAGCATGCAGTCTCCAGCTCACATGGTGCTGCCCATGCTGCTAGTTAGCATGGCCCACCATCCTGGTTTGCCCAGGACTGTGCTGGTGTTAGCATTGGAAGCCCTGCATCTTGGGAAGCCTCTCGGTTCCTGGATGAGGTCCTGAGCACCCCAGCAGTCCACCTGATACTGAGACAGTTAACTCTCCTGGAATGATGGCATTCACTGCTCCTGCACACCCCACTGCCTTTGTCACACCATCTTTATTATATGACTTGCTGGACAAAAGGTGGCCTAGAATGACTGACAGTCCTGCGCTTCTTTCAAAAATCTCCCAGTTCAGTGTCCTGTACTTCCAGTTCCCTGACACAGAGGCTGTCAGGAGTTCTGTTCAAGGGAAGACTGACATTTTCTCCTAGAAGACAGATAGGTTTTTCTCCTGCCCCTCTGTCTCTGCACACACAAACACAGAGACATCCTCAACTATTTTCATGGAGTCACACCTCAGACTGTCTCCAAGGGCAGGGACCAGGGTTTGTGATGCACTTCATGACCTCAGGTTAGGCGTGGATTTACCTTCCTCTGTAGATGTGGGGGAGGCTGATGTCAAAATGAGGCTATGGGCCTCAGGGTCACTGACCTTCAGACAAGCAGCCAAGGGGCAGAGTGGGGGCAAGCCAGCATGTTCCAGGCAGGGACACGCAGCCCTCATCACCTATGTCCAAAGGTTAGAGTAACACACGGTGGCTTGAGACATGCTGGGCTGCTGGAGACCTGCTCAGCAGGGCCAAAGTCCCAGTTTTCCTTCAGTGGGTTCTGGGCTAGGGGAGGTGTGGGGGTGGACTGACCCTGTGTGGGGTCTGGAAGGGGCAGGAGACACCAGGACAAGGAGTTCTTAACCAGCACGTGTGTGGGCCCTTCCTTCAGGAGCCCTGTTTGTTGGGAGACTGTTACCTGCCAGAAAATAGTGGATGCCAGTGTCTGGTTGGGCAAGAGAAGACCGACTACCTATGAGCGAGAGAGAAGAAATGCTGAAAAAGGCAAAAGAAACATCCTATGCTTTCACAAAGAAAAAATACACTGCCGCAGACGAGTGAGCTGGATCTGTACAAACTGATGTGGTATGCCGTGGACACACAAACTGAGGCCCACTGAGGGAGAGGGTGTACCATGGGAAAAAACCAAGTTGCAGAATTATATTATAGCATGATCTTATTTAAAGAAAAATTGTCTTATATATATATACAACCATATACACAAACGCATGCATACACACACATCTCTAAGCATGAAAAAATCGGTAGCACGGATCTCTCTGGAGGCTGGGTTACAGGCTACTTTTGCACAAACTTAAATATTTCTGTATTCTTTTTAACAACAGACATGCTGCATTATTTCCACAACTGGGGGGCAATAAAAACAAGCAAACAAAAGGAATCCCTTTGTTTCCACTCAGGTTACCTGACTCCCTCTCACCCTAGACATCCTGTAAGATTTTTGTGAAAATTAAACAAAAATAATTTCAAAGGCCTTAAGTGCTTTGTAAATACAAGTTGGGGGAATTTGTATGTTATCTGTAAATTTCCATAAAGCAAAAACCTATACCATGTTTAAGTGACTGAATGAAACATAAATTTCTAATATTTGTTGAATGAGTAAAGGAATGAATGAAGAAATAAACCAATATACACATATGGCTAAGTATGGAAACATAGGTGTGGATCCATTATTTCAAAAGCCCAAATAGCACCTAAGACCCAGACTTGCTGACTGTTTTTTTGGTTTAAGTCAAGATGAATGGTCTGATTTTGACACTGACCAAGGCTTGGACTTCAGGAATCCACATGTATCTCTCCAGTTTACCTTGTGAGTGTTTGTAGGCAAAATAACATCTACCAAGACCCGCTGCATATGGGAAAAATGTGCACAACCATCCACATATTGACTTATTTATTATTCCTATAGATAAAATGGCTCTTTGGCAAGAATTTCTGTAAGGAACAAGTATAAACACTAAATAATATGGAGTAAATCAAATTCTAGACATCCTCAGCAGCATTAGTAAATCATGTTTTAAACATTAAAATGTTTTAAAAGAGCGAACACACACACAATCTATAATTATTGGCTCGTATCCGTTTGAATAAAATTATATAATAAAGCTATTTCATAGCTCCAATGAGGAATTATGAGATTTTTCTCCCCAGAATGAGGTCCCAACTTAATTTTTTTTTCTTTGCAGTGGCAGCTCAGGGAACTAGAGTGGGAATCAGGGGAACTTGGGTCTTAGACTCAGCTCGGTCCTTGTGTGATCTCTGGCAGAAGATGATCCCCTTTGGGGCTCTAACTTTCTTACCTAGGAAAGTGAAGGAATTGACCTCAGTTTAAAATTCTACTCCCAGATTTTGGGTAGTAGGTGTGAAATCAACAGAGACAGTTTCATTGTCTGTAATGGGATCCCATCTGCTAAGGAGTATCCCAGGAAACCAAGGACCTCCTTCTAGCTGGGGGCCCAGTTAGAAGCCAGACCAGAGGGAGGACGCTGAGCCTAGAAGAGGGGACAGGGACAGGGTGGGGGGTGGGTGAAGGGGAATGTGCTCCCATGTGTAGCGTATGCAGGTCTGACTGCCTCCTACCACCAGAGGAAGTTAATAAGGCTGTTCACTGTTTGGAGCCCAGCACGTCATCCCCCGATCTGGAATCTACTGAACATGGTATCTTATGGACTACACTGTTTTCTCCCCTGAATCACTACTTGCCCCCGGAACTGTGCTTGGACCACCAAGAACGTCATAAGATACAGCCCAATGGGACTCACTGCATTTAACAGACGACTGCGTCCAGGACACTGCCCACAACACCACAGGGTTCCCTTTATAATCCTCTCCAGGGAAAGATTTTCCAGTCTCAGGGTCAGAAACTGTGCATCTGAGTACCCGGTGTGCCTTGCAGAGACTGGGCCATTTAACTGAGTCTCTCTGCACCATCAAGAAGTTGAGGCCAGCTCTCCATGGCCATATCCGCCAAGTGTACAGACCCACACTGCTAGATTCTGTGCCCAAACCTCACTCTGGCTTCGTTTTATCTTCCCTTTCCTAACCTTCCCTTTGTCTCATTTTCATCTTCACTTGATTTATCTTTAGTGGCATGCGTTTTTAAAAGTCTTTTCCAGAACAAACTGGAGGTCTAAACTAAACTAGTATCCGGGCTACGTATCACTCACACACACACACACACACACACACACACGCTGCCCATGGCTCTGTGACCAGCGAGCTTTTACTTCGTTGGACAACCCCCACCTCCTATCCCAACCTCCTGCCCTAACATGGGTGGGTGGGGGGGGTCCATGCTGGCACCTCTAACTGTTATAAGCATCCTCATTCTTTCTTAAAGAGATGGACTGACTGACTGATTTTGCCAAGCATTGCACTTACCATAATCCTCATACTAACCCTGGGGATCAAAGCAGAGATTACTTTTGATATTTTGCAAATGGGACAACTGAGGCTTAGAGAAATTCAGCAATCTGTCCATGGCTTCATTGCAAGCTAGAGAATCAGGTCTCCTGATTCCTGGTTTGGGGGCCCTGACTGATTTCAGGGTGTTCCTTTTCCAGCTCATCCCCCTGAGCACAGAGAAAGAGGGGATCCAGTCAGCACTCCACATCCATTTATGGGGAGCTTCTTCTGTGTACCAAGTTATTTGCTGTTCCCAATGGAGAACGCCAGAGAAGAGGAATGAGTGTGCATGCGCGCGTGCACGCCTGCGCGCGCGCACACACACACACACACACACACACACATTCTTAACCACAAAAAATCAAAAACCAGACAAGAAAATAAAGAACATCCTCTATAACACCTAGGCTTGAAAATGACAAGATGATTTAATGAGGTATTTGGGTGTGAGTAAAGTTGATAAATTTTAACATTCAAACAGGAGTTCAGGAAGGGAGGGGTAAGTGTGTCTCGGCTATCTAATGGAGGAGGAGGTAGGAGTGAGTCGAGGGGGTGCAGACACAGGAGCAGGGACAGCTGATACAGCGGAGAGACTGGTCTGACTGCAGAGGAGGTTTGGGAGCCCAGAAGAGAGTCTGGAGAGGCTGAGGTTAGAAGACAGGGAGCACTGAGCTGCACCGGCCAAACGGAGCCTTAGGGGGCCATGTGAGGCTGAGGCAGGGAAGCAGGGATCCTGCCCTCCAGGTCCTTACAGTCAGGCAGGGACCAAAAGCACGAGGATGCCAGCCCCATTCCCTATTAGGCAAAATGCAGCACCATCTGCACAATCCCAGGAGCAAGAGCAGATATTTTATAACTTCCTTTTTTCTTTTTAAGTCTAAATTAAAAATAAATGTTCCCTTCAGCTCTCAGATGTATATCTCTGGTGCAACCTGCCCACATTCTCTCCCGCTGCCCTTTCCAGAACATGGCAGGGGAAAGGAAGAAAGAGATGGATAGAGAGAGGGAGCCAGTCCACCCAGCTTCAATGCCAGTGGATTGCACCTCTTCCAAGAGGGAAACGATTCAGGCGTGGCCACGCAGACGGGTGGAGAGCGCCCAGAATGTGGCTGGTACCAAGGAAAGTGGAAGGAGAGGGAAACAGGAGCCAACAGCTAGGATTTCTAGCCCAGCCTCCACCCTATCTTGCTGCAGGACCTTGGCCAAATCGCACATCCTATCTCTGCTCCCATTTATAGTTCGTAACATGGCTGAAGTCCTCTCTGCTGCTCCAGGCCCCTGGTAGCTGAGCCCTCTGCACATCTGTCTGTATTTTTGCTGTTCCCCTTCCCCTTGGGTGTTCCACCATGGACCTAGTGATTAATGCGCAGGCTCTGGTCGTCAAATACTGGTGCCAGCATTTACCAGCTGTGTGACCACAGGCAACTCACACAAGATCTTTGTGCCTGTTTCTTCACCTGTCAAGTGAAGGATAATCCCGGTACCTCTCAGGATGGTTATGAGGAAGTAAGGTGTGGAAGGAATTGGGCTCAGCGTGTGGCCTGCAGCAAGCGCTCTCTGGATGCCAGTTGCTAGTGTCATTCCTCTTCTCCCATGTAGTTCTTTCTTGGCCTTTGCTGGTTTCTTTCTCTGAGTTCTGCAGTCAGCATTACACCACTGAACATCATCTCATCTCCATCTTGTCTTGGAACACAAACCTTAACCCTCAGGGAACAAAGCTCCAGAAAGTAAAATTGGGGCTTTTCCCTGTTCTCCTGATGCCCCCCATGGCATTCAGCACAAAGCTGGGCCCACACTCAGGTATGAAAGAACACTGCTAGTCATTAAATAATTCTTGGCCAGGGAAAGATCTCTGCTGGACTGGGATAATCCGCTCCTGATTCCTTTTATGAAGTCCTAATTGCAGGGGGGTGGGGTGGGAAATTGAGTCTTCGGTCCAGATTATTTCCCACTCCCTGCATCCATACCCTTGCCACAGCCTCATCCCAGGAGGAATTTGTTTCCCCGCTTTTTGGCTCCACTTGGCCATATGAGTTGCTCTGGTCGATGGCATGTAGGAGGATGTGGTAGTGTGTTAGTTCTGGGCCCTGCCTCAGAGGCCTCATGCCTTCCTGCTTACCCTCCTGGGCATCTAACATTGCCACAAGAAGACATCCCTGACAAATCCCTGGTCCAAGGAGGAGGAGAGACAGGAGGGCACAGTCCATCCCAGGTCAGGTCACCTTCAGCTGACCACAGTGAGATGCAGAACTGCCTCAGTCAAGCTTTGTCTAAACCAGCAAACCCCAGTCAACCACAGACCCCTAAGAATGAATGCTCACAGAGCCAGGCACAGTGACTCACACCTGCAGTTCCAGCACTTTGGGAGTCTGAGGCAGGAGGATGACCTGAGGTCAAGAGTTCGAGACCAGCCAGGCCAACATGGCGAAACCTCATCTCTAGTAAAAATGCAAAAAAATAGTTGAGGGTGGTGGCAGATGACTGTAATCCTACCTATTTGGGAGGTTGAGGCACAAGAATTGCTTAAACCCAGGAGGTGCAGGTTGC